ATGATGACTGATTTCCTGTCTTGGCAGACCATAATCAGCAGAGAGGCAGAGACTCGCAGGGCCGCCACATTTTTACAACCGCTGATACTGTCGCCGCATTCAACTTCCTTTTTGGTCAATGATCAATGTAAAGCTGCAGCGGCTACGCCACAAGTCACCCGGCATCTTTTCATCCCTCAGAGTTACATGTTCACACAAGTGACCTCGTGTCCCGTGAGCGACCTCGAGCAGCAGACTGAGACGGCTCAGGTGCGACGGATTCCTCCCTGTGCCAGAGGTCTTATTAGCCCCTTTGCTCTGATCGAGGCTCCAGCTGAGATGAGAGGCAGAGCAGCATCTCTGGGTGGGTTACTGGTTATTACTTCTGTCTTAGGTGACAACCCGACTGAACGAACATGGGCTGGGAGTGAACTGCTTGTCTCTACGTCGGCGTTATTGGTTATTATTTCTGTCTTGGGTGAAATCCTGACAAACAAAGATGCGCTGGAATGAATCGCTTCTGTCTTTTGCCATCATGTCAGTGATGATGAAATACCTTGTGGCTTCTAGTGAAAATAAATGAATATTGATGCTCTACCTTCCTGAACCCCCCCCCCCCCCCTCCCCAACCAATGTTTATAACAGGCATAAAATATGTATGAACTACGCCGTAATAAAAGACTAAATTATAAAATGATGAATCCCATCAAACCCTTTGTGCTTATCCAGTAGAGAGGCTGAAGAGCCAGAAAGCAATACTGTCTAAATAAGTGGTACATGAAAAACCAAATACCAAGCACAAATAATCTCGATATCAAGCACTTGCAGGTATTTGGTTCACAGAGACATTAGTTTGGTTGTGCGCTTTTTTTGGTCTCTTAAGGCCTCAACGTCTTTGTGGATTGTATTTCTTAGTCTCATTGGTACTTGTAGCAGGATTGTAAATGAGATTGCGTTCTTGACCAAAAGAATTCGAACATTTTTCACACTTCATCATTCTGAATTAATCAACGGTTCGTGTGGCCTAAGAAGCACCACCATATAAATATGTCTTTGTTTTGTTTAAACGAGTTAACAAGCGGGTGGGTTTCTACGGGCCTTTTCAGAGCATTAAGGTCACCTTCATCGATGCTGCAGTGCTGGACTGACTAACTCTGGTGGCTTTTGTTTTCTCTGCAACTCTTAAGACTCATGTATGAATAATATCAATATTTTCTTCTCTCCACCCGGTGAATCTATTATCAACCACCAGTCAAGGACCGCAAGGTCAAGGACCGCTGTGGTTCCCCACGTTGGCTCTTTAATACGTGAGTTATAGTTAGGTGATGACACCAAGGTCGCAGATTGCATTACTAATCACAGTCAGTCTGTGATGCATCTGTGACAAATTCAACCGTAAAAAAAAACAGCTGTTTGAACGTGTAAGAAAACCCCTAAACTGACCAGAGGACAAACAAACTCATCTTTCCCCGTCCACCCGTCAAGCTCCTCTGTGATCTCATGTTACTTTTGCCGTCTTCCTGCCTAGAATGCGAGGAGACGAGGTCAGCTCTCGACGCCGGCCTCATTTTCTCGTTTGACGCAAGCCTGCCTGTTTGTCTGCACTAAGGGTAATGCACTGTAATTTTTCTCGTGGAATATAAGATTACCCGCCTGCTCTCTGAAAACACAAGCCTGCACACACAGTGGGAGCGTTTTGCAGCACAATGTGTCTTACCTCTGCTTTGTGCAATTACCTGGAAACACAGAGCCGTCTGGGATTCTGCCGGAGCACACGGTGCTCCAAACGAGCTGCAATAGGTTGCAACTCTTTCAGTTTTTATTAGACTGTACAGTGGAAAAGGCTATAGGTGAGAAGAGCAAAGCCAAAGAAGAGATTAAATGGATGACATGCAATAAGAGGCGCAACAATACAGTACAGTGTCCTCAGTGGGGCTTCCTTACGGCGCAGTAGGCTGGAGAGTGTGAGTTGCTTTTTGTGCACAGCTCTTAGTTTCGACCAACAGTTTTATGAGATATACTTCTTGATAGATACATGGTGGTTTTCTTGCAGAGAGTCAGGTGAGAACTCTTTCTAACTCTCTAACTAAGATATTTTTGGAAACTTTTGGGAGCGATTTGTATTCATAGAGGGGGCATGAAATGCTCCTCAATAAATAAAATGAATCACATGTGTTTCCCAAGTCACTGGCATCCACTGACATTCAATCAGAAAATACTGTATGGGTCAGTTTGGGAAGTCAAACAACCGGCTTTCTGCTGATTGATCCTCATGCTCAGTATGTTATTGCGTCAACTTAGATTTCATTTTTCCACTAATAAAAGCTTTGAAACAAAATAAAAACTTCTTTTTTGTTTATGTAACAAAACTACTTGTTCAGTTTGGGTAAAAATCATGTTTTGGCTTCAAATAAATGAAACTCACAGACACAAACTCTCACACACACAGACACACACACTTACATGTGTAATCATCCTACTGGACCTTCGCTCCCCACTTTGATACTCTTCAGTCTAAGCCAATTATGCTCCTCGGGTTGCTTTTCATCCCCTGAAATTTGGAATGATTTTGTATGATTTTGTATGATTTAATGGGTCGTATTTGTAGTTACGTACTTGTCTGCACTTGTTTTGTACTCACTTTTCTGAACAAAAACAAAGATGATACTTCAAAAACAATCATAAACTGGGAGAAAGTGTGTTTCTCTTGGAACTTAATCGACAAAGCAAGACGAGAACGGCTGCCTGTATACACAGAGGATGAACGAAATGTTACCTTCATGCACGCAGGGACGCTCGTGAGAAATCTCTTTTTAGCCAATTGGGTCATTAATACGTGAGTGCAGTTCTTCTTTGTGTGCGTGCAGAAACACTGACGTCTGAAGAAAGTCCTTCATGCCCAGACAGTCAGCCAGCGAGTAAACCCTCGCTCTGCATTCATTATAAATCACACAATTACTCTGGGGGGGGGCTTTCCAAACAATGTGGGTCGAAGGGGGACAAGTCTTTGTTGAATATGCAATTGTCTGCATAATGCGCAGCCGGTGAGGCATCAGGCGCTGATACGTAGTGCAAATATTGAATGAGGGCTCTGAAGTTATTACTGTTAAGTGGTGGAAATAGTTAACAAAGAAGCAAAAAACTGAAGAAAAAAAAAGAATCTGACTGCTATGCAAATAAATCAGATTGGATGTGGGTATCGGGAGTTTGACGTTCTCATCAGCTTGAGGGTGGCACGAGCACCTTTCGTCCATTTCACCATCAACGTAAAGAACGGCCCGTTGTCCTGATGTCCTGTCAAACTAAAGGAGAAACCACAAGAGCACATTCAGAGAGCACATGAATGAAGAACATTCAGCTAAACGGAATAGAATTTTAATAGTTTAATGGTCGAGCCGCTGCCAGTGAGGCGCGAATGTGTCTCGAGATAATCCCCATTCAGGAGCAAATTTGAAGTCTCGTCCAAAAGCAGAGACGGAGAGAGACGAGGTGATAACTAATGCAGCCGGGCTTAGCTTCACCTTTGATGTTTGTAACCAAAACCCTCGGTGCTCAGAGCCTATCTGTCCTTGAAGTAAACACAGACAGGAATCCCTGGAGAGGGAGAAATATTCTAATCCCACAGCCAGCATAAACCTAGAGAGGAGCGAGGACTTTGTACTGGTTTCTTTTCTTTCTTTTTTTTTTTACAAAACTCACTGTGGGTCTTCTGATCATAGTTAATGAAACATTACATGGTTTCAGTCCACCTCTGCTTTAAAGTTGGCCTGAAGTCAGAGCGGCATCTGGAGATACTTATCATGTGGAGAGCTGACTTTACATTTAAACTTAAGTCAGTGGTTCATGTTTCTGATCGTCAATCTGATGAATTCATCCAGTTTAAACTCAGTGGCCATTTTCTTCTTCGGGATTCGCAAGGATGATGTCCTAGTTTCAGTGAAGGAAAAACTGTAATATGAATGGAAAAAAGTCAATCACTTTGGTTCTTTTTTACATTTCATCTACTCTATGCAGTAACTTTCTCTGCTGAACATCACTGTCACGAAACAGAATGACCACAGTTATGTCAAAGCCTTACTAATAATTTTAAATGACCTGCTGTTGACCTCATTTTGGGAATTGTTTTTTTTAAAGCAAATTTTCAACCAGAGCGTGGAAGTGTTGCTTGAAGTATGAGGTAACGTTTAAGGAGCAATTACCTCTTGTAAAACCCATATTCGTTAAATTAAAATTGGCTTGTGAGGAAGCGTGTGTAGGGGAGCGTTTGATTTCATCATCAGTGACACCTTCAAGGGTGCAGTCGATCCAGCAGTTTCGCTGCCAGCCTTTTGTTTCTGCAGGAATCAAAGGCAGAGCCACTGGACGGGTTGGTGTGTACGGCACAGTGATTCACCCCATGGTATGAAGCATCAAAACCAATTTCCGCTCCAGTATTGTACACTGGTGTCTATTTTTGGTGTGTGCGTGTGATATTTCTGAGGTGGTAGAGTGTTAACACTAAGGTCAGGTTGACATATCGCTTTGTTGAAGGCTTTGAGTAACTTTTATAATCCGCTATTGGACAGAAAATAACTTCATCCGAAGCTGCTGGATTTTGTTGCAGAAATAATTATCCTCTCAGAATGTTAGAATCTGGAGAAGTATTGACTGTGTTTTGATTTTGGACATCAGCCAACTCCAAATGAAAATACTTATTTCTGAAGAAATACGTGTTAAGAAAATAAAAAAATGATGCCTCTTTAGCACTGCCGATACTAGACGGTGGAGTAAAATCAACGCAAACCACCAATTGCAGTGTTAGCACGGAAACACACCTAGAAATTCACCTGCTACCGAAAGGGAGTCGAGTATTATTATTATGCATGAGGAGTAGCTAACGGACTTTGTAACTCAAGTGAATCCGCCAGGAAAGATGAAACCGGTAGCTCTTGTGTAGCTTATACTATATACGTGTCTTTGCCTTCAGAGCCCTTAAATTTGGCTGAACAATTTTGTCCTTGTTTTTTTTTTTTAATCCACAGATCTCCCCTGGCGGACTGAACAAACGAGTCGACTGTAACGAAGCTACGCCTGTCCTCGGTGTGCTTGTGGTCTGACGGAACTCACAGACATCAAAGGTACACTTTGTCTCTCTCCACCTCTTGCCTCCTTTAATGACTTTGTTCAGCTCATTATTGCAGTAATTACATTCCCTGACTGTTTTTTTTTTAAGACTTCACTCGCTCTGTCATATCTTCTCACTTTACTTCACTTCACTTTGATGCTCGAGACTCTTGTGAGATTTTTCTTTCAATAAGTTCAGGTGCTTTTCCTCCAGGAAATGTGCTCTGATTTCAATAATTCCCGCTGTTGAATCAGCTCAGGTAAACGTCAGTTGAAAGGCGGCCTTGGTTCTCTTCACAGTGGATTTTAGAGCTGAACAGGAGAGGTTGTTTCTTCTGGTCCAGTTTCTAAAGGAAGACTCAACTATGTAATTGCGTGTTTGACGTCTGTCACCATCCAGAAAATACAAACTGTCTCCCCCTGTTGCTTCTTTTATCGTCTACCCACAGTCAAGTGCCAACTTTTTATCTCATGAATACTCAAAGGCTACTTTACTCTGAACCTTAGCCTTTCTATTGTTGGCTGCTTATAACATAAGAACTCATGTCATAGTCCCCGATGAAGGATTGGGATAAAACCTCAGAACGTTGTGGTGGAGTTTATGAGCATCTATGAATCCTACTGAAATCTCTCTTTAAAGAGAACCAGAGTACTGCATGTGCTTGCATATCATTTGTGTGTGTTTGTGTTTGTCGGTGTTCCCCCACATTCGATTCAAAAGTGAAATGCTGAAATAAAATATGGATGGTAAACAACATCTACATTTCTATTCTTCTGGCAGTGAATGTGATCCGCTGTGGGCTCCACACGTCCCTCGCTAAGCTTTGCTTATCCTGGCATCACTACGCAAGACCCAAATTAACACTCTGTAACACACTATAACGCTCTGCAAAGCAACAACGGCTGGAATACTTGATTAGTGGGAGGTTCATTCCTGGTGACTGCGTTTGTTTTTTATGTGACGTCGCTTATGATAAATAAGTTAAATAAATAAGTGTATGCCATTTTTTGTTGGGACTGTTGAAGGCTTGGCTACAATTACCAAAATCCTTTTCAAAAATCACAACACGTATGCTCAGCTGTCAAGTCATCCAGGGATGGGGGTTTTATTCATACATGGGACTAATTTCAACTGACTTTCACGTTCATGAGAAGCACTTTCAAAGAGTTGCAAAGCTCATAAAAATGTGTGAGAACATACTCCTTAAACAGCAGATTGTTATGATGAATCACGTAACTGTAAGAGCGTTGACACATTCTCTTCACAGCATGCAATGAAAGGCTTTGGAATTAAGTTAAAAGAGCAATACTGCTACAGTTGCCAATTTGCCTCCTGACTGCAGATTGCGGGTAGATTCAAGTCCACCTTTTCCACAGGCGTGCAGCTGGAAAAGGAGCAGGTGTTTTAAAGTACCCATTTGTGCCACTGAGAGCTGCGTCCTCAGATGGCCATATGATGGGTTTACACAAGGAATTAATTTGAGCCGCAATTACAGCCTCTGGGTAGTGGCAAATTTGTGGTGAGTGGGGAAGGAAGGAGCCCACCACCCGGCTATAGTCCCCAATAAGGTGAAGGCTTCTAACTCAGTAATGACTGACGTTCACGCTCAATTATCTTCATCCCAAAGCTCCCAATCTGTTGCTCCGACCCCCCAATAACCTAATCTCAAACTCCTCGCAAGACAGGCGCCACACGCCACGTCTGCTGTGGCCGGCCTGCTCCGTCTCTATGGTCCTGTTCTGTCTCCGCTCTCATGGAACAAGATTAAAGTCAAAGCATTAGTTTGTATTTGGTGAATTTGGGAATTGGCTTTCCTTGTTGAGTAGGATGACACCCTTCTCATTTCGTCCTTTAAATATGAATATATTGTATATTAGCATAAAGAGTGGAAGATGCTGACCTAGCGCCATGTTTAACCATGTTAAATCCGTAAGCTGAATTTGGTTGTAGGCAAATTTAATTATCTTCACTGCTTACATGCTGCTCAAGACAGCAAAGTTTCCCTATCCATGGAAAACACCACTACAATCTTGGTGGTGGAATTACCAAAGTTTCAGTTCAGGGAGACAGGACATAGTCTCCCTTGAAGCCCTATTTGATGATTTAATTGTAGTGTCATATAGTGAGAAAAACCGACCCGTAGCTGCTGGCTCCTTCAAAGCTGTTCTTGATAATAGCAGCACTTACATGCTTGCCAGTTTATAACAGAGAGGGTATTATGGTGAGGGGGTCTCGTCGCTGATCGATTTGTTTTAGGGGAGTCCAATGGATTTAATGAATAAGGAGCCGAAGGATTTATTACTGGATTTTCCAGCAAGCCTTTGTGTAATGCGAATGCTGCATCTCATCTGCGGATCCACGTTCAAAACTGTGGCCGTGTGTGGATATATTTACTACTGGGCTATTTTTAGAAATAGCAGTTTGTGCTGAAGTGCTTAAACGCCGTGCGATAGTGCAAGTCAAGCAGCCAGTTATGCGCCGTGGCTTCTGCACATGGACCATGAGACAGTTTCCCTTAGATTAATTAATTATTTAATTCTGAAGAGTAGCGCGATTTAAGACCAATCCTTTCTTTTAAAAAAAAATTCTCTTTGTTGGACCAGGGACCACCCCCCCCCCCCCCCCCCTCTTCACTCATTAGGAGTCATCCACCAAGGACTTTCCTGCCCCTTAAGTTGTACTTTAAGTGTCTGTTACATAACGTTCCGACTAAGTATGCCGTTCCGGTATGTAATTGAGGATGGGGTTAAACGTGCGGACCGTGGCTGTGTTCTTATCCCACGTGAAGCAGCCCATTAGCAAACATCTGCTGAAATGGACCTTAGAAAAACAGGGCTGTCATGGCGTCAGAGGGGAATTCTTCTGAGGCCCCTCCCTGTGCTATTTTAAGAAGGGCCAGAAGTCGACGTTTAATGATAAGCTGGGCGCGTAGCTCACATGCCTTCCATTTTATTCCATCTGCGACTCAGGAAGCCATGGCTACGTTGCCCCCTAATTCTCCCGGGGTGGGAATAATTAGACTCTGTCATCAGGTACGGCCAATCAACATGGCATGGAACCCTGTTGCTTTCGGTTATCTCAAGTAGCGGACAGCTTTGGAAATAGACAATGATTCTATTTTTGCAACTAGTCATTGCCCAGCAGTGTTGCCATTTAAAGACTAAGCTACCAGCGGATGACTAATATCCGTCTGAGACATATTCAGGCGTATTTCATGCAGAGCAATGTTTCAAAATACATTCCTGATTTGATACTGAAAAAAACTGGTAATGAGTAATAAAGTAATGAGAGAGACGATGTTCCTTTGCAGAGGTAAACTATACTCTTTACCTTACGGCGATAAAAAGGAACCTTTTCTTTCATTTACATGGACGTGGAGTTTAACTTTTAAAACACCGGCTTTTCAGCACGTAGTCCTTTGTGAGGAAGAGGGAAGGAAGAGTCGTGTCAGACGAGACTCCTCTCCAGATAAATAAATGATCAGCGCTCAACAAACATCAAAGAGAGATTGTGTGCTTCAAAGGGAATAAAGGCCTCAGCCAGGTCCTATATTGAAGAATGAATTCTGTCCATGAGCGCGCGCGCACACACACACACACACACACACACACACACACACACACACTCTGTTTCTGTAATCCGACCTGTTTAAGATTCTAATGGTTGAATCTGCATTGATCATCCCCCGCTGTGGTGTGGTGGCGAGATCAGCTGGACAATCCCCAGTATGCTTTGATGTAATGTGTCTCCTGACTTATTTGCCATCTCTTGATGACCTTCTCTCTTTAACCTTTTCTTGCACATTTGTTGTACAGCCTCTAAATATTGGGCATAAGGACTCAACTCACCAGTGTTTTTTAAAATGATGCCGACTGGCGTAAGTTCAACCCGGCCTGTGAAGCCCTCTAATTTTGGTCAATGTTGTAATTTGGTGTTGAGTCTTCTTAACCAATATTTGATTGATTAAATTATACTTTGGGATAAAACCATGTCATGTACTTTGAGTAAAGTTTATAAAAAAGATAACATGCTAATTTTGAAATACTTTTTCCACAAGTTTCATCCAACTCGGGGTCATAAACCACAAAAGAAGCATATGTTGCTTGTAACTTTTGTATTTCTGTTTTAACCTTTCCGCTTCTTCTCTCTTGTCATTTGCTTACTTTTCTCCTCTCTCCCAGCTCCCTCTTCTTGCTGTCTCCTCCTTCTGCTTCTGTTAGAGTGGGGGATGTCTTTTTTCTAACACCTCTCAGCCTACTAATCTACTAGGTCTGTATTTCTGTGGTATTTCCAACTCCATTTGTTATTCTGCTGTCAACCCCCTTGATATCACGCCACCATCAGCTATGGATATCATGGTGTGAGTGACACACATTGTAGCTTGCAACTGTTAATCTAGAATTCATGATTGTTTATGAGTGTATGTGTGCGTGTGTGTGTGTGTGTGTGTGTGTGTGTGTGGCACCAAGCCGGGTGTCCGTATGGGTGGCATGTGTTGAATTCATGCCTGCAACAGTGCTTGTGTGTCAGATCGCGTTGTGGCTTCGTGCATGACCATATCCAATGACAGTGCCATTCCTCCACGCTGGCTATACATGTTCATTTGTAAGGGTGACATCATGCACCTTCTGCCTTCTTGGTGCCCCAAAAACAAGACTCTTTGTTTTTGTGATTGTGCACTGTGCTGTTTCACTCCCCTTTGTTGTGATTGGTGAATCGCGTTTCCATTTTGCTGCACTTGTTCTACAGCAGAACGGTTTCGAATTGCAATTGTGGTGCCAGGATTATCTTAATCACAAGAAAGGCCTGAACCTAAGCAAATACATCAAATACATCATTTGCATCCAGCCGAGCATCCTCATTAATGTTTTTGCAATGACGAGCTTGGAGTATCAGAGACTTCCCCATGTACTTGTCCTTTGTGGGGAGAATTTGAGCTTGTCTCTTCTGCGTATTGGCCCAAGAAAGCAAGAAATCAGCCAACTTAATTGCTTCACTTCACTGATCACGATCATTATATAAAGCTTGGGCTGTGTGTCAAACCATCAATGTCCCAACTGGACCCATAAGTAAGTTTTGTATTTGAATTTGAAGTTGTATCCGCCTGTTGATCCTCCCCCCCATGTTGGGTCATGGTGTCAATAATGCCCCCTCCAACCTCCAACCTCCCCCTCCTCTTCTCCCTTCCCTACACGGAAGATTTGTACAACTGCGTCTCAACACTGGACATGGAGGACTATGACGTTCGCTCGGCCGCCAGCATCCTGGCCTCGGTGAAAGAGCAGGAGGAGCGTTTCGAGCAGCTGACCCGAGCCCTCGAGGAGGAGCGTCGCAACGTCACGCTGCAGCTGGAGCGCTCCGCCGCTCCTCCCAACCCGCCTACCATCCAGCCGCCGGCGTGGCAGCAGGTGGTGATGCAGGTAAATGATGCCAGCATATTTGGCCGACTCCCCGTCTCCCGTCATTTTTCAACCGACTTGTGTCGGCCATCGCTGGCAACCGCTCTAAAGCGACAACCCTCCCGCCTTCCCCCCCGTCCCTCCATCCGTTCCAAGATCATCACGCCGTCCTGTCTGCTCACAGTCATCGCCTTTTTACCATCGGTGGGGCTCAACGGTCTCTCTGTTCCACTTTTCTGTGAGTTGGTAAACGTGTTCCCTTTGTCTGAACCCACTGTCGTGGATTGTGAATTAATAATTTCTGCGGTGACTCATCTCTTAAAGCGAGTTGATGAGATTCAACCTCTCGTTCTGTTTTTCTTTCGTCTCATCCTTTTATGGCACAGTTTACCATTCAATCCTCCTCCTTCTGCCCACTGGTCTTTGATATTGCCATTTGGTGCTGCTGATGGGATGTGGCATGTTGCTCAGCTCTGGCCAGTGTCTGTTAGAATCTCTGCCAAGGCTCCTGCCAATGCCGGCTTCTTCTGCAGGAGAAGGAAGATGTAGAAATGAGACTAAGAATGTCAGCAATCACAGCAACCGATTCACACGAGAAAGAAGGAAACTCTCCAAGGCTTTGCACATGTTTTACTAACCTGAATTTGAAAGCACAGTTTGGCGATGCTGCACCTGTAGGACCAGGCTACATCACCTTTAATCACAGCGAAGAAGGCAGTCTCATGTATTATTGATATAGCAAGACCAGCAGAGATTAAACTTTACCTGCGGTTGTATTTGCCTGCATTCAAATTTTGTCCCCCGTCGTGTCAGCGTACTTATGTAAAGTGCTTGCTGCCAATCTGGCCTCATGAAGGGATAATGAGGATGCAGGGAAGGTATGCCAGGTTAAAGTAAACTCCTCATCCCCTCGCCCACCACAAGGGGTAATCTGCCGCTTTCCTACACAACTCTGGAGAAAAAAAGGAAAGTAGACAAGCCGCCGTGGCCTCCCTACAATCAAGCTCCCAGAAAAAGGAGGTGAAGGATACAAAAGCGGATTTGAAGTAGTATAACCGTGGAATTACAACTCTATCACATGATGCCATTGGGCCTCAGAGAATAGAAATCGGAAAGAGACGTATATACATGTATATGTTTTTAAAGAAAATTGAATTCCCATAGCGAACACTTGACTATCCCTTGACAATGTCAAGTAGTTTGAGAAGAAATTAAATTGACTCAATTAACTAACCAAACATCATTCTGTCAGTCTCACAAACAGAACGTGTGGTATTAAGTCTCTCTTGTGACTCACTCACGGATCACATAACATAACCCACACACTCCTTTCAGGCTGCACGATAGACTCAAATGGATTGTGGATCAGCATCACAGGGCTTGGATTCACGACCCAAGGGTCAGACTCAATGAGGCCTGCCATTATTTAAAGTCAGAAAAGGAAAAGTGGACCATGATTGATTGAATGATAAACCACTAATCTAAAGAGTGCTTTGCTCCAAGGTGCTCATTTTTTCAACAGATTGGGTCCTTACACTTTAATCTATTGTCATTTATATTTCTCAACTCGGGCGCCCCGGAGAGTCAGAGCAGACCGAGTGGGCAGCAAATAAACAAGCTGTCTTTAGTTCAGATTGACGCAGACTTTACTTTACACGTATCAGCGCATCACTTTATGATTGGTCTCTCTGAAACTCTAAACTACTCGTTTCTTTCATCCAGCCTCCAGACACAGTTTCTTGAGTTTAACAATTCAGGCCCTTCTGTCCAGACCAGCCTGGACGCGGGGTGATGCATGGGCCTGGCACGCAGCCCAATGACGCAAATAAATCATTTATTGATGGTGTGACATTATTATATGGGAATATAGCAGTCATTTCCGCCTCAAATACAAAGTCAGAAGATTTGTAGCTTTCCGAGTTGAGTTTGGTGATAAATCTTCTGGCTAATGTTCATGTGAACGTTCAATTTGTTGCATAACAGGAAGTTTTCTGCCAATCAAACTGCGCGGCACCAAGAATGGCAAATGGGGGTCGGTCTTCCACTTTGGTCCAAACTGAAAGATGAAATATGGGGAAATCTCAGCAAATACTGGATGCTGTCATGCTATATTGAATTTGTTCTATGGCATGGTTATTCAAAAAATCATGAAGATTATATTTGCATCAGTCTTTAAGCTTTACGTTGTGTTTAGTGACAAGTTATTGTACGGTAGTATGCTAAAACACTAAAACTATGAAAGGGGAATTCATGGGCACATTGCCATGCTGGAATTAGCGGCCAATTTAAAGCATCACTGGGCCTCATAAAATGCCACAGTAGTGTTCCTGGAGACTGTGAACCGTTATGGTTGAAGCTTTTCAAGAGTTCCATGTGGTCTTTGGCTTAAAAAGCCACCTATTCACTGTTGTATGATGTATAATTGTGTTTACGGTCCCAAATCCAGATAAATCACTTTGTGACATGAACATGTGTCACCTTGTTTAAGTTCACACTACTAAATAATATTGTGGCTCAACGTATTTCAAACATAATTTCATGATTTTTGATATGATGTTAACACAAGGTACATAAAGGTAAATAACCACAAACCGCTTTGTATTGGAACAGTAAGTGCAGGAGAGGTTCATGTAAACAGCACTGCCCTACTTTCTAAAACCTTATTAACTCAATTCTGACCCTCATTCGCTCAGATATTACACTATATGAATTGCGGCCATGGCCGAGAATCAGAGTGGTTGTATTGCGCCGTCCTGTGACAAACAACACTGTCAGACACTGCATTAGCTTTTCTGATGAAATTATCTGTAGAGATTCAGTGACACGGACTGAGGCTCCTTTCAATCTGCATCTCCGACAGCCCCAACATGCTCACGTGCTAAGATCATTCCCTTTCTCAATTCGATATTGTGTTTTCCTGTTTTTTGCCTGAAGGAACCATCTCAAAGAGTTTCTGAAAGGTCAAATGGTGACATGGAGGCAGACAGCACTTTGAGGGAGAAAGTGACCTGGTTTCGTACAAACCAGACACCTAATCTGTCTACCAGCGGCCCGGCACGTGCACAGATTCCATCTTTTGGTGCCTAAAATCATCTGGCCGTGATCACAAGCCAACCCTGGGTAATCTATCTTACTCTGGGTATTATTATATGTTGCTGTTTGGTATTCAGATGCTATTCAGCGGGCTCCTAGCATTTCGGAGGCACATTATCCCCCGGTGCAAATGTTGTGGGAAGTTTTTCAAAGGCTTGTGAGGTTTAGAGAGAGGGAACAGTGCAGCCTTTGATCTGTGCTGCTGTCTGTGGTGCAGAGGCACAGGCAACGGCCCTGCGATGGCACCACAGCCCTCTACCAACAATCGCTCCAACCGCCCTCCACCCACTTTCATCCCCACAGACCCCCCCACCACCCACCACCCACCCCTCCAGCCCTTTCACGGCACAATGGAAACAAAGGGCCCGAGGGCGCTATAGCGACAGAAGATCTATCCCTCCAGTTCGGGGGGCCCTGTACCCTCGTAAATCACCTGCTTAACAATGAGGCTTAGTTAACCCCATTCCCTCCTCGATCTTCGCCTGTCTCCATCCCTCGCCGTGCCATCAGGAAGCTCCTCTCCTCCCGTGAACACCCTAATTACCTCGGTGAGAAAATGTCGCCTTTGTTTGTTTTTGTATGCAACATAATTCCCGTACCCTCCCACAGCACTTTCCTCGATGTAGATCAGCCTGCAAAAAAAACGTCCCCTTTACAAGCTCATTTGTTGGTGCTCGTTTTCCCTGTTTCCCTATGGAGGACCTAATCATGCTGCATCAGTTTAAAGGTTACTTGGTCCTATTAGGAGTGTTGTGCTATAAAACATTTTAAATAATGCAATTTATCAAAGATTTTATGGCTGGTTGTTTGTCACAATACTGACTTTTTTTCCAACTGACTTGAGGCACTTTCACAGCTTTCTTCCATGATGTTTAGTGGGACTTTATTTCAATGCTTTACATCTTTGGCTGAAGTATCATTTTTACTTCTTTGTCCTCGTCCTTGTCCTGTGCCTGGTTACGCGTCTGAATTGATGTTGAACTAATATTACACAACTGGCAACAACGTGACACTACTTTTCAGTGTCATCACTAGTAGAACTCGTCTTTATGTAATTATTATTTTATTACTTTTCCTTCACTATGAAAATAAAAACCTGCCAATATTTCTGCTCTCATTTGTGGGGGTGGTGGTGATTTCCAGTCTTTTCTTTCCTGTGTGACCCCCTGATTACTTATAATCATAACCAATAATTTGTGTTATTATTTTATGACCGTAAAAGCCCTGTGCAGATGCAGACGCCCGGGGTTTTGTTGGAGAAATGGATTCTTTAACAATCGTGGGCATGTCAAGGTCTCTAAAGGCAATGCAATCCATTTACAAATCTAATAAATGTTTTAAACATTTAAAGGGCTAACCCAACTTACTTATTCCCGCCACGTTGGTTAAATTTGAACAGAGCTGCCATTTATGTTCTAAGTTATCTTTTATTCACTCCACTTCAACATTAGGAGTGAAGATTGAGGCGATGGCCCATGAATCACACGGCTAAGGTGGGAGTGAGTCTCAGCCTGGTACAGGGTCTAACGTGGCAGGACAGGAATTTTTACTCAAGGTTGGGGTTGTGCAGACAAACAGAGTAATAGGGTTATGGTGACATGAGGGGGGGTTAGCAGCAAAGCCTTTTGTACTGTGAGCTATTTATATTCCTTTGGGGTTGCTCGAACCTCCATCCTTCAAATCAGACCCAACGCTATTGGACTTAATGCCCGTCCTGGTGCACCTCCCTGCCATTTGATCACAATCCATTAAACCATTATGCGCACTAAAAGCACTAAGAGGGGTATCACAACACTGCTCTCGTTTCCTTTACCAGACACTCGCTCTATGTACTCGCATAGGTGAACAGGGAGCCTCCTTACCATCGAAGGGCACATCCCCGGTTTAGAAGTTTCAAGAAAACTGACCGAGGTAGTTTGAATAGACCG